GATCTTGGCTGTTCAGACTGGGCTCATTGAGCTGCAGGTCATTCATCGAGCTTTCCTCCTCAGCATCATCCTCTTCGTCGTGGTGGCTTCCATTCTGCAGTCCATGCTGGAGATTGCTGACCCCATAGTTCTGGCACTGGGGGCCTCCAGAGACAAGTAAGAGCCTCAAAACATCTTGTATACTTCACGCCTGATCAGATTCCAGTTTTCTTTCAACTTTCAGGCAAGACACATGCGTGTTATTTACAACAGTTTTTATTTTTTAAACAATTTTTTAGTCTGGCAGATTTTTGACATTTTCTGAATGGTTGGAAATTTTGTTTATTTTCTTATTATTATTTTAATTTATTAATTTAATCTCAAAATTTAACTAGCTTCCAAAAAAGTCTTGTAACGGTATGATAAAACAGAGTAAATGTTAAGAGATGTGCACTATGGGCATGCAAATTTATTTATTTTTTTTTACTTTTTATTACTTTTTAAAATTGAATTATACATATTTTTCATGCTAAAAAATGTGCTAGATTTGATTTGGTCTTGTAATCAGGAAATAAAATCGTTAGAACCCTGCAGAGTACTGTCTGGGCCGATATGCATGTTTTTCTATCCGAGGACCTGTATGTTGAGCCTTTCTTCTGTCTTTGGTTTTTGCAGGAGTCTGTGGAAGCACTTCAGAGCAGTAAGTCTTTGTCTTTTCCTGCTGGTCTTCCCTGCTTACATGGCTTACATGATCTGCCAGTTCTTCCGTATGGACTTCTGGCTGCTCATAATCATCTCCTCCAGCATCCTCACATCACTGCAGGTACACAAACCTCACACAGTAATACAAATGAACAGTTGCTATCACGGCGCATAGACACTCCTGCAGTGTCAAGTTTTGTTAAGAGATGAAGTGGTATAATAGTATATATCGGTTGATTTTTATGGTGACTAGAGATGCACGATATATTGGCCACCATATCGGTATCGGCTTATAAATGTGAATTTTTTCTGTTGTCGTTATCGAGCCGATAAGAAAATATTGGCCGATATATTAAAGACAATAAATAATACATTATTTCCTTCAAAGACACTTTAGATGTGCACAAATCACTTGTGCATTGTCAGCCTTTTGTGCAATTGTATGTTGTGCAATTGTATTGTTTATGCACATATATCTTATTTATCTAATATAGAATGTGTTTGGTTAAGCTAATAGAAGGTAAATAGAGCACAGTATGTCAGTGGTCATCTTTAGCTCAGCGCACACAGCTCAAACAGAAGCGCACAACATTAACTATGATTGGGACTGTCATATAAAACATTATAATGAGAACACTATTATAATAAAACGTTGTGAATTGTTTCGGTATATTTGCCGTGTAGCAGCGCGTTGTTACGGGAAGAGCCAAGAGCGCATACACGCCATGAGTTACACATTCTGGCACATAACTTGGTTCAAGATCACTTGTGTATTTGCGTCTTTTTGTGCATATATAAGTTATGATATTATGTTTATGTTGTATAAATATCTGATTCTCATATAGCATAATTAACCTGCTAACAAAACGCTTCAGTTTACTGGTGTTGATTCAGCTCTTCAGCTACAGCGCACACAGCTCAAACAGCAATGCTGCTAGTTGAAACAGTGGTGTTAAGATACTTCTTTTTCAGAATCATTGAGATATTAATAATAACCACCACTTTTATTTTTCTTATTTTCATTATCAATATGGTTTAACTAAAATAA